TTGGTTTCTCTTTCAGGAAGCCTGGGACTGCACTCCTGCTGTCCACCAGGCTGTATTTGCACGAGATGGCCCTCTGTCAGTCCTCAGTTAAAACAGTAATTGCATGCACACTAGATCTCTGAATGTTTGTTGTTGGGGAAGCAAATTATGTTGACCAGAATCCATTCATTCTCCCAGTATCGCTGAGCACGGGATAATCTTGGCTGTGTCAGCTGCCCGATGACTGGTAGCTATGAAAAATGGATATTGGCTGCAGGTATTCCAAACCTGCTTCACTGTGTAACACTTTTGGGGGCAGTGGATATGAGGCTGAAAAACATTAATAGAACTTATGTCATCATGTTTTGGGGGCATAAACCCCCAACTGTGGATTAATGGATATCTTGGTGAGAGAAATACGTCCTCACTCTATTATGCCTGGATGGGCGAGCTATAGTTGGCATCCATGGAAATATATGGAGAGATTGCCTTTAGAAGGTCAGCCTTTAAAGGACTTTTTTGACCTCAAAGTCAATGAAAGTGGATTTTTGATTGTTGACCAAGACAACTGTAACATAAGACTTTCAACCTTTAAAAAAATTTTATTGAAGTACAACATACAAAACAGAACACAGATCCTGGGTGCACAGCAAGATGCATTTTCACAAACTGAAAACATCCAGGGAACCAGAATCTGGATCAAAAATCCCAGGATCCCAGGCATCCCCCTTGGTCCCTTTTCACCAACCCTCACCCCAGAGTAATTGCTCCACTAACTTCTAATGCCCTAGGTGATTTTGCCTATTTCTGTGATGTTTTTGAACTTCCTAGAAATGGAGTCATCTGGTGTGTGCTTTCTTCTCTCCAGGATTCTTTTATCCAACATTACATTTGTGAGATTTACCTGTATTGTTGTATGCAGTTGTAATTTTTATATTCTTGTTGGTTTGTAATCTTCCATTTTATGAATACATCATAATTTATTTATCCATTCTATCATTTATGGGCATTTAAGTAGTTTCCAATTCAGAAATACTACAAATAATGCTGCTGTGAACATTCTGGTAAGTCTTTTGGTGAGCATATGTGTACTTTCTGCTGGGTGTTTACCTAGGAGTAAAATTGCTAGGTCGTAGATACTGCCAAATAATTTTCCAAAGTGATTGCACCAATTTTATGCTCAAAATCAGTATGTGAAAGTTCTTGTCAATCTATATTCTTGTCAGTACTCAATATTATATTTTCATTTTAGAAAGCTTTTAGCTTTTAATACTTCCTAGTTCACAGGGCCTCACTGTTGCTGCTGTGAAACTAGGAAAATATGAAAATGTCAGCACTGGGCTGGAGAGCCACTGTACTCAACAGAGTATCATTGAAGAAGGTGACAGTTGGTGACAGTAAATGACTCGGGCCCTTTATATGGTGCTTTTCTACTTTGCCAAAGCATCCAGGCTCCTCTATTTTTGTTCTCAGATCTTCTGGCAAATGTAAAAGAAGGTTTAGCTCCTAAATATATTATTTTTGGGTTCTAGAACTAAACACCCTTGAAAAACATCTGCTACATACCTACAATTTAGTCAAGTCTGTTTGTCAAAACATATACTCTGAATATTTGCAGAGCTCCTATATGTGTCAGGCCTTGTCCCATGCCCTGGTGATGCAGAGATGAGCACCGCCTCATTTTTCATAGGGTTCCAGTTTAAAGAGGACTACAGTCAGGTTGCTAATTACAAAAAATATTAATGTTGCCTTTTGATTATGTGCTATTATGTTTTAGACTGGGCATCCATCTGAGTTTATTGATAACTTGTTCATAAAAAAAAAGTGAGTCATTTTAAATTTACAAAGTCACCTCAATTCCAAGAGAGTTATGCACACTTCAGAAAGTTCACCGAGAAGGTGGGCCAACAGAAGTTCACTCTGAAGGAAGTAACTGGAATTTGAGTAGCCACAGTAGATTACACTTCTCTAAATAGGAACATTGTTACTTTTTGCACTTCTCTGTATCTCTCTACATGATATTCGATGAAATGATGTTAGAGATTATGTCAGTTGGGTTTAATCAGGGAAGCAGAACCCTATGAGTGATATGGAATAAGAAGTTTATTACAGGGATTAGATTTTACACAATGGTGGGAGAAACTGGGATTGCAAATGTCCAGAAGGGGATGGTTGGCTGAGCAGGCAGTTGCTGACCGGCACCCATGAGGTAGAGCTGGTAAAGAAGACCATGGACGACTTTGCCTCCACCTCTGACAGGAGCCTGGACGATGTCAGCAGAACAGGTGGTCAAGAGGAAGGCTGGGTGCTAAATGGAAGAGAACGGGGACTAAACAGAAGTCATGAGGGAAAACTGGAAACTACAGGGACAAACTGACAGGTGTATCTGTCTGTCACTGTGGCAAGCCCCAAAGCTCTTGTCCAACAATAAAACCAGAGGATGTGTTTGTGCACACATATGTAAATACATACACTATATGCATACATAGTAAGTACTCAGTGAATGATGTTAATTTTGGGATTCATTTTGCTTCCAAGATATTTTTAGTATTGGGACCAAGGGTATGGGCAGGGAACAGGGCAACTCAATTATTTTAAAATAAAAGTGTTTCACTTTCTTCATCCTTTTTCTCTCTGGGAAAATACAATGAGCTGCTCAATTTTGGACCCATGCATTCCCATGGCAACAGAACCTAAAGTGCTAAAAGATAGATTATAATTTCTTACACTATTTTAAAAATCTGTGTATGGTCTATATGGTGTTTTAAAATGCACTTAATAGCAGAGAATAGCATTGCCACTAAACATCCCCTACACACACACACACACACACACACACACACACTCTCACAGGCATACTCACACTCACTCACACAAGGAACATGAATGTCAAAAGAAAAAAAGCCCATGATTTGTAAGTTATCTTGCATATAGGAAAAAAATGGATAGAAATGACACTGTTCAGCTTTGTCTTCTTAGAGCTGCATTGAGCCAAATTTTCTTGATCATAGTTAGGTGACTTTAGACATAATCTGACCATTTGAAGCCTGGAGAAAAAGTCAGCGATCATAGGCACAGAAGTGAGAATAGCTTTGGTCTTTGGAAACTCCAAGTAGTTCGACATGGGTGGAAAGTGGTGTGTGTTTAAGGGGAGGTAATGAGTCTGAATAGAATCTTATTTTTAATTTTAGGAATTTTAATTATGAAGTATTTCAAATATACAGAAAAGTATAGAAAATAGTGATACTCATGTACCTCCCCCATAGTTCATAGCTATTAGCCATTTGCCCTATTTTTCTCAAATATCTTTTCATTCTAAATAAATGAGATAACTATTCAGTTAAATCTTTACCTGCCCATCCCTTTACCTTCCCTTCCTCCCAAGAAAGCTCTATCATCCTAAAGTTGCATGGGACATTCCTCTGTATGTTTTCATGGATTCCTATACTGTTGTATCTTTATGTTTTAATAATTTATATAAATAGTATTAGAAAATTAATATCTGTCCTTTTGCAGCTCATTTCTATTACTCAACATTATGATTTTGAGCTTTGGGCATATACATGCCATAAGGAGAGTGAAGATGCACATTCGCTATTGCACAGAGTTAATCAACTATTCAACTAAATTGATAATTCACCTAGAGAGTGAGTTGATAACGCCCGTTTTTACATTTGTAGAAAATGTTAATGATATGCAGACAGGACTGGACACCAGATACAAAAGTGAATACAGGAAAAAGGAAACATGGCTATTTGCACCCTAGTCTTTCCACTTCTGAAGACCAGGTGCTTCCTCTTATAATCCATCCTAAGAGGGTAGTTGCAGGGTCCACATGGTCTTTGATGATTACGGCACAGATGTCCAGTTACTGCCCAGGAAGAAGACCAGCTTAGAGGAGGTCTAGACTTGTGCAGGGAATAGGCAGCCAAATCTCAGCTTCCATCAGGCAACCCTGGTGATTTCTCCTCACCTAGCTCCACCCCCCACCTCACCCCTGTAGATCTTCTCTCCTACTGGGAACTGCGGGACGTGGCTGTCATGATCTGTAGCCCACAGGTTGGGAGGGCTGAGGGATTGGGTCCTTTCTCATCCTGCCATGTGCACGACCCCTTCCATTCCTACTGCCCTGAGAAATGTTTCATTCAATGTTCCATTCAACTTGCCAGTTGCAGTTTGATATATTGAGTGTTCACTTTTTTTTAACATTGTTAAAATGAAGAAATTAAAGGGGTATTTATTTTCAGGACACAATATTGAGTCACCGATTTAATATCAGATATACGTGAGCAATTATGTATATTCCATCTCTCTTCTCTGTTTACCACATTACTCTCTGTTTCAAAGAAACTCCTCACATGCAGAAGCACTCTCAAAACAGAACAAAAGGGACTATGTACACATTTCACTTCTGAGGTGGCATTTACTTAATAATATCTACCAAATTAAATGTTATATTGACCTTGTGTCACTGTCAACTAATTATATTTTATTTCTGTTGCATTTCCAAGTATGTTCAGCTAAAAGCAAGTGACTTCATGCAAATTAAACTGCGTAGAAGCTTTTTAGGCCATGTTCAAATATTAACAGGTTTGATAAATATATTTGTCTAACAAGAGTAGGAAAAAGAGCTCTTTGTTTACTGACACACTTTATTGTCATTCTGCTGTATACCTCTTGTGTGGCTGTTTTATAGGACATAAAGTCTAGGTATCCTGTCAAAATCTCAGATCTTATTTATAGCTTGCTGCAAAGTGGCTTATTGTCATTTATTACTTCTTATTTGATTTATATAACATCTTACCACTGAAAAGCCGGTGGGTTTATTTATTGCAGAGTACACACACACACACACACACACACACACACACACACACACACACACACTTGAACTTCCCTCAATGCTGTGATCTAGTTAGCTGTATAGCACCAAAAATTTGTATGAGGCTGCTCCGTTTGGGTTTTTTTCTGAGATCGTGTTCTGGGAAGGCACTTTGAGTGTTTATTATTTGCCTCTAGGTGGATCGGATCATCTTCTGTGTCTTCTTAGAAGTTGACTTCAAAATCTACAAAAAGAAAATGAGCGAGTTTTTCCCTGTAGGTGAGTAAAGCCATTTGTTTCCTTTGGAATTGAGGATTGAAGGAGTGGAGGTGTCACTTGTATTTCTGTCTTGTTTTACATCTCCAGGACTGTTGCAGATGTGACTCCCACACACCAGTCATCCCACCAACTTGTATTACCATTTCTAGGAACTGAACAAGGTGACAGAGAACTTAGGCTCTATACCTCTCTGTCTCACAAGGGTGTTGTCTTGGGGAAGTCAGTTCATCTCTTGGGTCACAGGTCTTCACATCAAAAGTGAGAGGCTGGACCAAATAACTTCTAAAGGCCCTTCCTCTGGCCCTAAATTGCATGATCTGTGATTCCTTTTCCATCTTGTAAGTTTTCCAGGCTTTGTGCCAACATTGACCATGTGACACACCTTTGTTGGCTATGATGAGGAATCTGTTTACATTAGTAGTCAGAATTCAAACTGTTCCTGCATTCCCCAAGTACGCCAGTTTTCTCACCCCTGATTGTAATGACCACAACAGCTCTTTCTAGGATAATCAGAATGGTAGCCATCCACCTCATTCCACACTTCTTTTTAGAATGTAGGAGAAACCTCAGGGTTATTGAAGAAGCTTGAGGTACGGATTTACATTGACTGAATGTGCCATTAGCTGAATTTGGGTAATTTGAATATCTCTCGCATTCTCCCTCTTCCAGACTATTAAGGCTGAGGCTTGTTTAATGCCTTGTTATTTTTATGGTGTCGTAAAAGTCACAATGCCCAGAGTGCTTTTCTTAGCCATGGTAAGAATTGCTTCCAAGAAATTTCAAGCTACTGTGAACATAGCTGGTGCCCGACTTTCAGAGAGCTTTCTTTTGAGACTTCCATCTCCATTTGAAGTGGCCTGACTCTGGCAGGCAGAAAGGAGAGAATGAAGGGTGCTGGTGCATTCTCACCCCCTTAAATAGCCTATAAAAGCCAAGCGATGAAGAGGATGCTCTGGCTATAGATCAGAGTAGGATGTGGTAGCTGTCGAGAACAGCTGCAGAAAACCAATGGAGATGTGCAACTCTGTGCATATGCTCAAAGTTCTAAGTTCTTCTGGGTAACTGGAAGTCTTCTCTGATTTTATAATTGAAAGGTGAATCTGCTAAATGCATTTAATTTTGGTCTTTAAAGTGTTTCCCCAACTGATACATAATGTAAATTCCTCGAAGGCTCCCATGTGATGAATAACAGGGTTTGGTTTGTGATCTTTTCTCCTTTCTCTTCCTCCTCCTTTTTTCACTTTTATTCAATTTTTAAGTGTTTCACAGAGTGCAAAGCACATAATAGCTATTTAATAAGTAGTTGTTGAAATGAGTTGAATTTAACAAATTCTTCTTGCCGTAATCTGATGGCTTTTTTTTTTTTCTGTTTCATTCTCCTGGTTCATCTTTTCTCTGGATTTCCTTTATGTAATCACAGTGAGCTGATAGGTCCCTACATTTTTAAGTATTCTTAAAAGAAAGTATTCATTATGTAAAAAATGTGATTGCTATTGGTGTGTGATGCAAATATTCTCATGTCTTGTCAATATAGCAGCATAATTTATAAGATTTTATAAATTTTAGACCCTTGAGATGCTTGGAAATAATGACATCACATTTGTTTCCATATCTTCTTAAATGAGAACTGGTTTTCACTCTAACATATGATAAAAAATAATTGCACATTTACGATCCATTGATATTGAAACAAATCTTTCCATCAGCTGGTATTTCCAATGATACAGAGCTAAAAATCACACTGAAAATGTTTAAAAATGAGACACTTTTAAGGGTCTAGAATATATTAATAACTGTGCAAATAAATTATTGTTTGAAAAATTACTACTTAAAATACATCTAAAAATGCATCTCAGTACTTGAGAGAGTAAAATAATGATAAAATCATCCTCAATGCTTTGAAGCATGCCACACTCATAAAATTATTTCAATTGCATATTTATAATAGTAAGTATATTTTTTAAACTAAATGTTAAAACCCTCAAAAAATTGTGGAGTACTTCTTTAATGTTAAGGCATCATCCATTTGCAAATGTTAATGATGCAGTATGAAATAAAGGTGATGTCTAATGGAATATGTGGCTGCTAATACAGATGATATACATTATCTGTCCTTAATTTGAATTTATGGTTTATTCATAACCATACCATCTTTGATTGGAATATAATTTTTCTGACCTGTCATATATTCCCCCAGATTGACTTATTCAGAATATCTCTAACTAGTGTTCATAAACCTTCCCAAAGCAGTAATGATTATAATGCATACAAAAAAGTCATTTCATATTAAATCAAATCTCTGTTTGGGGTACTTTGATCTAATGTCTATAAATTTCATAATTGGGAATCTGAGCCAAAATGTATGAGAAAACAATAAAGGTTCAACCAGAAGAGATCATGCTACAGATATGACACATACATAACTACTACCTAATACTAATCATAGGAACAATGGCTAACGTTTATTTATTGTTCTCTATCAGCCAGACACACTATTTATTTCTTTCCATGGGCTAAATCAGTTAATCTTCATGATAACTCTAACAAAATAGGTACTGTATTAGCCCTTTGCTGTGATTTCCATTGTTATGGTTTCTTTCTAATTTGGTCTTGAGGTTTTTCTCCCTTAAGAGTAGCTGTAAGCCAAAATAGCCACTCTCTCCAGCAGGCCTGACCAGGGGGAAAGTTAAGTTTGGGTGTGTGTCAGGTGAGACACAATAAGGAAGTAAACCCAAAATGCAGGAAACAGAAGAAATTTGTTACAAGTCCCGGAGAGATTAGGGGTGCCATTGGAATGCCAATGGGAATTCAGGAGGTAGCAGAGAACTCAACCCACGTGGGGAGCTAGAAAGAGAGAAAAAGAGGAAGAAAAGATCTGTGGGGTTATGCCTTTATTAGGGTCCATGTGTGTTACCCCTTAGACTTTCCTGCATGGGTTGTAGATTGGCTAGATTAAAGAAGACACTTGAGAAGAGGGAATTTACTTACATGACTCTGGTGTTGACCATTAGATTTTATTGTGATCAGCAGCTCTTGGGTGTATTGGGTTTGGGGTCAGTGGGATAAGGAAATAGCGGGCCATATTGCAAACAACCATATAAGGAGGAGATGTTTTAACTAGACCAAAAGTGATGGGGTACATGTGGGTTTCAAACAACTTATATCAGGCCTAAAAATGAATGCTAAGGCAGAAACTACATTAAACAAATCTATAAGACCCTACTTTTAGATATGGAAAATGAAGCATACAGCTAGAAAGCAACACAGCTATATTTTAAAATGGAGTATGGCATCTTGTTATTGCACAAGTGGTAATAGGTTAGTTTTGTCAGAGTCTTTAGAGAAGGCTGACATCACCTGCCAAGATGCATTTAATATTGAGAAAATCCCATTCCTATTTTATCTCCTGCCCCTCATTTTCCAAAGCTACCATGCTTCTCTCTCTTCTAATACCTGTAAATATCTTCATGAAAAAGTTTCTAAGATGAGTCAAATTGTACTTTACCATGGATTTCAACACTGAATTTAATTCAAATCATCCAGGCAATGTGGTAAGTGTAAATGGGGAAACCCAAAGGCCTTATGGCATGACTACAAGAGAAGATGGAAAATTGCCCATATTATTTTGTTAGGGTGGCAAAAACAAGGTACCACAGAGTGGGTGGCTTAAACAACAGAACTATATTTTCTTATAATTCTGGAGGCTAGAGGCCCAAGATCAAGGTGTCAGCAGTGTTAGTTTCTTCTGAGGTCTTGTTCCTTGGCTTGTAGATGGCTGTCTTTTCCTGTATTTTCACATGATCTTCCCTCTGAGTCATCTGTATCCTACCCTCCTCTTCATAGAAGGGCACCAGTCATATCAAATTAGGACCCACTCTAAGAAGTAATTAAATTTTAATTTAATTACTTCTTAAAGGCCCTATCTCCAAATATAGTCACATTATGAGGTGCTGGGGTAAGGACTTCCACATAAGAATTTGGGGGGACACAATTCAGCCCATAATACTGGTCATCATGGAAATGCAGTAGGAACCTCAAAGGAAAAAAGCCAGCAGTGGTTTTTTTCCAACATTTTCACATCTTGCTGTGAGGTGAAGCACATTTGACTCTTTCCTCCCAGATGTATTATTTGAAAGTAGAGTATAGCAGTTTTATGGAATTCTCACATGCTTTGGCTGCAAATAATTTATAGTTACAGTGCACCATTACATGGCCTACAGCAAATAATATTTGTATGATTCAATTCAAAAATCTCTTTTTTCTTTACATAAAAGGTTTATGTTTTCCAGTGTGCAGAATTTATTGTATGTAGTTTTCATTGAATGTTAAAAAAAAAAGACAGTTCTTGATCTGGAATGAGGAAGTCATTTTTTTTTTTATTGGAGTATAAGTCCTAATAGAGAACTTGGAGATATTAATTTTTCTCTTAATAATAATAAAGAACTTACAGTTTTGTGTATATGAAAGAATCTTAATATCAGAAACTTGAGAGACGTCGTATTTAAACCTTCTTTCCCTCAACCCCTTCAGGGAAAGCCTGTTTGCTGAAATGGTTCCTAAGTAGGAATGATTTTTCCCTCCATGGGACATTTTGAGACTTTTTGTTTTGTACAACTGAGGGAGAGGAGGGGCTCGTGGCCTCTAGTGGGTAGAGGTCAAGGATACTGTTAAACATTCTGCCATACACAAGGCAGCTCCAACAACAGAGAATTACACAGCCACAAATGTCTAAAGAGTAGTGCAGAGGTTGAGAAGCCTCGTCCTCTGTAACCACCCCTCTCTTACCATTCAGGCCATTGAGGCAATCTTTGCCTTTGGACTGGGTTAATTTTATAGTGTTCTGACTGCTGATGCCTTACCCAATCTTATCTGTCTAGCTAGATTTGGAAGCTGTGCGGTCAGCTTGACCTCTGGCTTCCTGGATTCATGACCCCCTCCTAGATTAGACTTCTGGTTTTACACCCTGTCCATTCACTATGTACCCATAGATTTCTATACGT